GTAGTGAAATGTAGGAAAATTCGGTTCAAACAATCAGAAAAGTCTATAAAAATTGAAATATATCAAAAGCATCAAGGCTCAGTAACCTCAATGTTTATCCAAATATTTCTTTGACTCTACTCGTCATACAGTTAGGAAAAAAATTATGAATGCTTTTTTTTTGAGAAATATTGTTTGATTGTTGAGAAAATCGATTTTTTTCGATAGGAAAGGATAAAAAGCTATATAGATGGGTTTGTATTCTAAGACTTTGACCATTAGAAGTTCTCTTCCAAAAAAAAACTGATTATCATATTCAGAATCAGCGCAAAAATGTACATCGAATAGAGTATACTCAATACTGGAAACTGATTTCTGTCAAATTTCAACCATAGAGGAGTATAGATTAGCGTATTCGAAAATAAGTGATTGGAATTAAAGTTCTGATGGTCAAAATCTTAGAATACAAATCTGTTCCCATAGCTTTTTTTCCTTCCTATCAAAAAACATCGATTTTTTCAATAATCAAACAATATTTTTTAAAAAGCATGTATAATTTTTTTCCTAACTACATGACGAGTAGAATTTAAAAAAAAATTTTGGATAAATATTGAAGCTACTGAGACTTGATGCTCTTGGCGTATTTCAATTTTTGTAGACTTCTGATTTTTCGAACCAGATTTTTGTAAGTTTCACCACAAAAACATCATCAGAAAATATGAAAATGTCAACGACAATATTTCTATAGATAACTCCACGAGCTCTATCAAATCTGGACAACAAAATGCCAAAAAGAAACTTTGTTGAAGTTGTAAAATGTCCGCACCTGACTTGTTTTTCTTTTCTTTTTTTTTTTATAAAAGAAAAAGTGCATTCAACATTAAATTGATTAGTTTGTTTCATATATTAAAATATTAAATGAAATATTAAAGAAAACAAAATTTACTGCTTATTATTATGAATTTGAAAAAAATAACTATTTGTGTACAAAATCTATTGAATAAAAAAAAAGATAGAAGTATAAATGTGTTTTTTTTTTGTGAATATTACATCAATGATATAGATGACTGATAGCAATGCATAATGTCATGCATGATTGCTGACGTTAACTTATAGAACTGAAATTTTTGTAATTTTAGCGACGTAAAAAGCATGAGTAAAACGCCTATATTTACTCATCAGATTTTACTCGAAACATCGATACCTAAATAGTAACAACGAAAATACACAATATCGTTGAGTATAAAAGATCGATAGCTTCTTCGTTGATATTCATTCATATTATAAACAAAAATTTTATATATAAAACAAGTAAGTATAAACATTGAATAACATTAATCAATAGATTTTTTTCACTTTTATATTAATTCTAGTCTGATTTAATATAAGCAATGGGTTGGAGTAGTGATAATCTCTTTGGATACGGTGGATACGGTGGATACGGTGGATACGGTGGACACGGTGGATATGGTGGACACGGTGGATACGGTGGATACGGTGGATACGGTGGACACGGTGGACACGGTGGATACGGTGGATACGGTGGATACGGTGGACACGGTGGATACGGTGGACATGGTTTTGATTATGGTTACGGAGGTTTTGGTGGACTTCCATATGGAGGATACGGTGGAGGTTATGGACATGGATGGTAATTCAAAACATTGATCTATGTACTTTTATAATTGATTGCTTGAATAAATATCAAATGCATTTCACGGCTTTATACTAAACAGTTTTGTTATTTTATGAGGTTTTTTTAGGTCAGCTGATATATATACTGAATCGTAGTATAAATCCTATATTTGAAAGATATCAAGTTTTGATTCAGCAACAAGTGGATCAGTCCACTAGAAATGAAAGAAATCTCCTGAATAAATATAGCAAAATACAATTTAGAAGACCTTTGGGCACAAACGATTTTCAATAATTTTGATGTGTATAGGTTGTTTTTTAGCGTTTGTACACACAGTAATATTTAAGTTCAGTAAGGACAGTATTTTGCGTTATTCACCTTAGGGTTGCATCAGTTTCGAGTTAGAACATTCACACGAACAAGTTAATAGGGAACTATAGTTAATTACAAATTGCATGTTTTTACTATAAAGACATGTCTCGAGAGTACTGTAGTGAGCCTTTACAACAGACTCTCAAGGCAATTTTTAGATTTTCTTGATAAAAAATTTGTTTTCACTCCGATTCAATTTAAGTAAGGCCTCCACTCTGAAAAGTCTAACTTCGTCAGGATACATGAAACATTGACGAAACTTTGCATAGATGTTCGACTCATGCAAGTACGGTACTAAAAAAAAACGTCACGCTTCTATACCGTACTATTTAGGAGATATTCAGTGACCAAGCTGCAAAGCTCAGATTGCTTTCATTTGAGAGAGAACTCCTTACTACTTCGGATGAGACAATGGGTTTTTTAATTTTTATTCTATTTCATTTTTCAGATCATCGAAACTTCAAAAGTGTGGAATTTCTAAGTATGAGTTCTTGAAAAACTCAGAGTTTATCTAGCGTTGATGATTAATTAGAAAATTCCTTTGTCTCGTCTGATGGATTATTATGCATACTTATCTATCGATTAGAAGAAAAGAACATAGGTTTCTAGAATGGAGTATATTGAGGAAAAGAAATTTGTCCGCAGTTCGATTATTACCGAAAAAAAAATCAATTTTGAGCAAAATGCACAAGAATTTTTTCTTATAGTCTTCCTATCATTACTTAAAATGTAGGTAAAGCATAAATATATTACATATCAATCAAAGTACTTGTCTATATCCATTGTATTGTCTTCGTATGATATATATCACAATCGAGGATGGCACCTACCATTATCTCTATGTTTGTTATACCGTTCAGTAACATAATTAAGAAAGAAGAATAACAAATTCGTCTTTTTTTTTATTCGCTTGTTGCTTTACACTTTTTTTAAAGGTTGATAATGACGGTTTGTTTTTATTAGTAACTCATAAGAAATATGCTATTATATTTTATATGAAACATCAACTTTGAGCGTGCGAGTGTGGATGACGATAAAATTCACACGCACACCATCAAGTCATTGGAGATCTCAAAAATATGCCACTAAGATGCACAAGATCTGATCACTTCTGAAAAATATTTTTTTGTTTTACTCTGCAGATCTAACTCTACATAATCAGTGTACTGATTGCTCTAAACATCATTATTTTTCCAGATAGTTTCAAAGATCATCATAAAACTTCGAAAATCTTCGAGAATCAAATCTATTTTGATAAATTCCTACACTTAGCAATCCAGATAACATGTTCAGATGTTCATCTCAATGATCTTTTTGTTTCTGACGATAATCGAGTTTTCTACAGGGAGAGAAGGACTTAACGCGATATACATCCAAAGACATCATAGGTGCAGAGATTTTTCTCAAATAAAGACGTACTCAGTAGAAATCTCGTTGTCTATTACTTAAATCTACACTCTTTCTTTGTAATGTCTCATTAAAATCCCAACACATTCGTAGGACACAAGAGTATATTCTTAACTGAAAAAGACATGTGATTGAAGACACAGATTGGGACATGTTCAATGAAGAATGCTTTCTGCGCCTGACAACACATTTCTTTTTGTAAAAGGATATTATGACATTTTTCGAAAAGAATACAAATGACTCTAAAATAAACCATAGTCTTTATTTCATTTACTACAAACTGTTTCACGGTAGATAATTGCATTCATTCAGATGAGCTAAAAACTAATAAATCAAACTTAGCAATATATTGTATTTTGAACGGATTTCGTCTACACTAATCAAACCTTCACATCAACAAATGACACACACAAATAACATCGATTAAAACTTTATTAATTTTTATTGTTTCAGTTATTTATTCATATGGAACTATAGATGATATGAGTGATTGAGTTTATATTTGAGGAAAAATTGTGCTATTGTAAATGGTACCAAGGTTTTTGGATCTATTTCATTGTATTGTTCCAAGAACACTCTTCTTAATAATAATCTGTTTACTTTCCTTTCTTACATTGAAATATAATGTTTCTTTCCGATTCAATCAGACTCGAAATAATGAAATAAATCCATTGCCTGACAATACATTGGACAAAACAAGATTCAAATTAGAAACTCTCGTTGAAAGCATCAAATAAACTATAACCTTTTTCACGGATACACAGAAGGAAACTTCTCTAACTTGTGAATGATATAAGAAAATACAAGATACTACACGTTCTCATATATTCGAAGTTCTATTCGGTATTTTACATGTGAGATCGATAGCGTTCTCTATCTCAAGTGTGTTCTTAATAAATATCCAGTCTTCATATCTGATCAACGACATATAGTTCATGTATGAGAAAATCATTATTATCTAATTTTGATACTGAAGACTCAAATATTTTCATTGTAAACTACGTTCTAGATCTATATCGTTTGCTTTCTTATTAATTTGCATTCATAGTTATAGCTGTACTTAAATGTTGCATCAATAATAGGTCATAATCTTTATTGATGTAAAACTATATGATCCATGTGATAATGACAGGACAACTACATCTAAAGTATCAACTTCGGATTTACGTAAAATTAATAGTCAAACTCTAATCGGATATCGTGAATCATATTTAAAATATCAAACATGTTGTATTCGTTGTTTTCTGTATAAATAACGATATGTTCTTCGTTCAAATGAAAGTTTTCATTTAGCTTCCTCTTATCTATCAAATTTTCAGTTTTATATGCAAGTCGATTTGCTGTAAAAATTTTTCGATTCAAACCCAGGAATTCAAAAGAAAAAATATGCATTTAAATGTCATCGTTCAAAAGAAAATGGAATTGAAAATATCTCTCCTGTTAATGCTATTGCTTTTCATAAACAATTTGGACCATTTGCAGCTGTTACTTTTGATGCATTTATAAATATATCGGATGATGTTGATAAAAAACATTTATGTCACTTTCATTAGTAAAACATTGTTTTATTTGATTTTGAAATAATTTAATTTTTCGTACTTTTAGATATTCTGCTGGTACAACATGTTTGGCTTTTTTATCCAAACAAAATATACTTGCTATAACATAATCATATGGTTATAAAAATGATGCCGATCTATAATTAGCACCAAATAATATCACAAAAAAAATAACATATTTGTCAAACGTGTATTTGATTTAGAAACTAGGCCTAAAGAAGAAAAAAACAAAAGATGATTGTGCTTTTCTTGGTTCTGTGTTTTGTTGTTGATGTCAGTAGAAAAAAGAAAAAAAATGTGAATATATTATTCTTCAGATAGTTGATGAAACACGTTTTGATTATCTTCATATGACTTTTCGTGAATTCCATAGTAATGAGAACAAGAATAATACGGATTCAACATCCTTATGTTTATCACAATTCTTTCATTCTGTACTTGTTTGTTGTAAATATTACCGAGCGAATTTTTCACTCACGAAGAATGGTCTTCACGTGTGGCTCGCCAATCGATATGATAGTTTGCTCATAAGTAGACTTCGACAAGACTAGTAGAAGTATATAAAGGTTTGTTTCCATACCCTGTCCTTTCCGAGTTATGATAGCTTTACCCAATTTATTATTTCTGACAAGGTATCTGTGAAACAGCTGAATTAGAGAATTTCCAACTAAAATTTTACGCATAAATTGGTCTCATGGACCTCCGAATGTTCTGAAAATTTCAGCCTAAAAGGATGTTTTGTTCTTGAAATATCAAATGTTGAAAACAGTGAACTTTCTTACCTTTCCTTGTGACATGTGATTGTTTTTGGACATTCAATATCTCAAGAAAAAAATATCTTTTTAACCTAAAGTTTTCAGAACATTCTAGGATTCACGAGACCTACTTATGAGTAAAATATTAGTTTGAAGTTTCCTAATTCGGTTGTTTTACAAATACTCTGTCAGAGATAACAAATTCAGTCAGAATTGGGATAACTGGGAAGGACAGGATATAGGGACGAATCCTTATAGGTTTTTACAAGTCACGTTTGGGTCTACTTATTGGCAAAATATCAGTGTGATCGACGAGTCGTACCTGGAGACCTTCTCTCGTTAGTGAAAGATTATGAAAAAATCATGCACGCCACTGTGATGAATCACATAATGTAAAATGCGTCTGTAATGAACTTTGGACTTGTTTATTTAAAAAGTAAATGCATAATTTACCTTTTAATCATCAAGATATTTATGGCATATATGATTGACGTTTTCGTTTATTACAGCAAATAGTTATTTATAACGATGAGTAAAATTAATGATAACATTAATTGATTAGATGCAATGCATATAGCATATTCTACTGGTTTGATCGAAGAAATTTTAGCAAATGTAGTTTATCCATGTTTTGTGATAGTTGAAATTGTAGATTTTACTGTAAAATTTGAAATTGAAAGAAATTCAGCCGTTGAGCAAAAATAAATCAATACATTTTCTGTTGTATGATTATAATGTTTTTTTTTAAATGAATCATCGCTAGATAAAGAACTTGATTATTTAGTAAATATAATAGATCAAATGAATATTTTTTGAATTAATAAATTCGTTCATAAAGATGCTTAAATATGACTAAGAAGCACATTTTTTCTAGGAGAGTCCATAAACTAAATAAGAACGTACTACAGCTCAGAATTCATGATAGA